TCTAGAAAAGGGACAGGATGTCAGGGCTAAGCTATACCTACAGGCATGACCAAAGCCCAAAACTGAATGTATATGGACAAATGTAAGAAGTGTAAAAAGTGTAATGATTAAATTGAAATGTGTACAAAGGAACAGGAGCTTGACATGGTTGGTTGACATATGGCTAGAAAAGTATGATACCTGGTTACCAGCTGTTTGGATAGGACAGGTTAGACTGCAGAGGTGGTGGGAGTAATGGTATATTGGAGGAGATGTCATAGATCAATTGGGGTCTTTTTGGCAGATGTGTCACAAGTTAAGCCCAGAGCTACGGGACCAGGGACCCAGGTCCACAGACTGCCCCCCCCCTCCCCCCCCCTTGCCTGCTGCAGGCTTGTGTAGGGGGGGTGGGGCTGGCTCCCCGCTGCTGCACATACTCTCGGGGAGCAGGGGGGGACCTGTGTCCCCCAGATCTGTGCACGTGTGGGCTGCCCTCTGGGTTCGGGTTTCTACCCTGCTGCCTTCCCCTGGGATCTCTGCAGCCCAGTGGGTGTGACCTGGCACTGCAGGGCACAATGGGGCCATGCAGAAAAGCTGCTTACTGCTACGTGCTCCACGCTGCCTTGGTGACACGTCTCCTACGCAAGTGGCAGCAGTAAGGGCTACAACCTCTACGCCGCCAGCCCTGCTGGTGCTGTGTGCACAGGGGATGCACAGGGGCAGCCATCTTTCCCTGTTGTGCTGTGCAGCACCAGGTTGCACCTACTGGACTGTGGAGATCCTGGGGGAGGGCAGCAGGGTGGGACCCCAAGCCCACAGTGGGCAGCCCGCCCCCAGCTCTCTCACAGATGTGGAGGGCATGGGTCCCCCCTGCTCCTCAGGAGCATGCACAGTGGTGGGGAGCCAACCTCGCCCCCTGGACGAGCCACCTGAAGCCCTGTCCTGCTCCCTTCCATGGCCTTGTGGCTGCACATTGTAAACCCAGGCCCCAAGTCTTACGTGGTGCTCAGCTGGGCAGCAGTCCCAGCCTTGCCCAACTTCTTCCTTCTGTCGTCGTCCCCCCCCACCACGCTTACCTGTGGGGAGTTGCCTTCCAGGCTGCCTGGCAGCTATGTGCATGTACATGCATATGGAGCCCCTTACCTGGCTGCCCTCCTCCCACTCCCCCCCAGCCCCCTGCAGGCTGGAACTCTGCCAGCCTGCAAAGAGAGCGAATCCACAGGTTTCTCTGGCAAAATGAGAAATCCACAGTTTCCTTTGGCAAAGGGGAAAATTCGTCGTTTTCTCCATTTTTTCTGTGGGAAACGGAAAACCTGAACCCCTGATGATCAGGTTTAGGCACTTTTGGTCTTTGCGTGAGAGAGTATAATGTGGTGACAATAGATTAAAAAAATTAGTGGGAGACTTCTACTGACTAAATATATGGGCAGTCTATATAAAGAAGTGTAAGGGAACAATTTCTCTACATCTTTAAATTTCTCAAAACTGTTAGCTCTAAAGCATAACAGAAGATGTTTTTCTTAGTCCGAAATAACAAGTGGCCATTAAGTAAAATTAACTAGGTAAGTAAGAGTAATTAGGTTCAATATTTAAGAAGTAGGAAGAAATATTCACAAATTAGCATGACAGTATTCTCCTTTGGGAAGGCAGGGGGTTTAATTTTTTTTTTTAAGTTTAAAATCTTTAAAAAATGTAATTGTACCTTGATGGCAAAAAATGAAGTTAAAATTCATAGATTTAGCATGATGATCTGTAAGGTCCCTTCCAGCCCCTAACATAAGGTGACTTATGCTACTATTGAGAGGCACAAGAAACCTAAACAAGAGCAGGAAGGCAAGAGAGAGAATATGTAGCTGTTAATAGCTATGGTCAGATCTATCAGGAAATGGCAATCCAGTCCAAATTAAGTTAATAGAAGTAGAAGTGAATGGATTATTATCTTCTAGTCACTTATACCCCTTATTCAAGTGGTTAGCTTCATTCATAGATTTTATTAATGACCTATGGAAAATGTCAGATAATATCAGTGGGCAAAAAACTTTTAAGATATTTAAAAATTACTCCTTTCTAAACTAATAGAAATAATCCGATGCCACAAAATGTAAGGTACTGGCCAAAGTTTAGTAGGATCAATGAAGAGATTATATAATTATGACTGACAAGAAAATTTATATTTTATAGTTTAGAAAAGCTTGGATTGATTAAACTGCCATGTTTCAGGGCATTAGCCTCTTCTGTGTGACAGAGGGATGGAAAAATCTCTGTATCTGGGAATGCTGTTTTTGTATTGACATTTCTAGCGTTGTCCTTTGAAACTAACTGGTGTTACATTGTCAGGATAATGATTGAGGTGTAACATTTACTGTCCGAGCCCCCAAGGTCTGAAATAGCTTGCCGCCAGAGGTGGTTCAAGCACCTACTTTGAACGCCTTCAAGAGAAACCTGGATGATTTTCTTGCTGGGATCCTATGACCCCAGCTGACTTCCTCCTCCTGGGGCAGGGGCCTGGACTTGATGATCTTCCGAGGTCCCTTCCAGCCCTAGTGTCTATGAAATCTATGAAACATCTATGCCAGTACAGCTGTTGCATGTTTACATTATGCTGATACCATGGAATCTCTATTCAAAACCTGAAAAGCTACTGCTTGGTTGTTTCCAATAAGGTTTCTTTCAGATTGACTTACTTATTGATTGGAGAGAATAAAATAGAATGTTTGATTTAATCTTGGGTCTCAGGCCAATAGAATTGCTGTCACCAGGCCCTACTGTTGGTTGAGAAGAAAGTGTGTTCTCCACATGAAGAGCAGAGCAGTAGTGTTTCCTTTTTTTTCATGGAATCAGAAAAATAGGGCTGGAAGGGATCTCTGGAGGTTATCTCATCCATCCTCCCTGTCTGAGGCAGAATCATCCCTATCCAAACCATTTTATACAAATCCTTGTCTAACCTATTACTAGTACTACACAATCCACTCTGCCACACTACCACAAGACATAGGCTGCTTGCAAACATTAAAAAAACAAAATGGTGCTTTAAACTTGGCACGTTCCCACATCGAGCCCTGTGCATGTCCAGAAGAGGCAGCGCCTTAGTTGGACTCGGCTCGCCTGATGTTTCTATAGATTGAGCACTTCAGTAGGGTTTTTTTGGCACTTTATCTAACAGCTGCTTGAATCAGCTTTAGCTAAAAGCACCAAAAAGCCCTACTAAAGTGCCCGATCTATACATGCACTGTGGAGCCAGGTCAAAATAATGCCCTGCTGTTTCCAGTAATCGCTGTTTGGTTGTTTTTTGTAATGTCTGCAAGCAGCCATAGTGCCCAAACCTGCCACAGATAAAGCAGGGGATCACTGGCGGCCAGTGTCCTGCTGCTGTCAGGGTTGTTTAATATGCTTGAGAGATCCAAGGAAGGGGGCCAGGCCCCACCACTGCAGTAGAAGGCTAAAAACCCCTATAATCCATATTAATCTGACCATAGTGTAGAATTCCTTCCTGACTCCAGATGTGACAATTGATCTGACCCTGAGCAAGGGGCAAGACCTTCTAGCCAGGAACCTCTGGGTTTTAGTCCCAGCAAAAGCATTGGCACACCCTAGTCTAAATCCCCAGCCTTGGTTGCAGCCAACACCCAATGCTTCTGAGGAAAGCAAACCCTCCCACCTGCTTCCTGGACATGTGTAGCAAACATGCCATGTGGCAGCCGGCAAACCAGAAACATTTTGTAGTATTTAAAGTGTATTGAAAAGCTTAGAAAGTCTAAAGCAAGCTGCCTGTTGAAGAACACTTGCATGTTTTGGATCTGTTGATCTCTAACCAACAAATGTATAGCTCTTAACTGCATGGTTTTTCTTGCTTGGTTCATCACTTGTCTCCAGATAAGGTGCCATTTTGCAATCCTTAAACTCAGTGGTGCTCATCCTCTGGTCCATGGTCCAGATCTGGCCTGCAGGCTGTCTTATCTGGCCCAAAGGTCTCCCCACAGATCTGGAAATCTGGTGGTGGGAGGTGGTAGCAGTGTTGTTTGCTGTTTCTCTGCTGCCAAATTTCTGGACCCTTTGGGAGCTCTATGAGCTGAACGGCATGGCCCTGTATAGGAGCGCTCCTGCTGAACACAGATGTACTGAATTGACAGGGTTTAACCAGGGACCTTGAGATAATGGTGGGAAAACTACTGTGTAGGCTGAGTCTTCCCAAACTCAGTTTTGATGATTTGTATAATTTAGCATTTTATACCTGAAATGAAGAATTTTCAGACATTTAGTGTGGTGTATATCCTGTAGAGGTTTCCTTGGATGCTTTTTGTTAACATGCTAAACTATCATTTGGCAACTTCAATAATTACTGAAATGGAAAAGTAAAATTAAGGCGGTATTTTGTATATTTTATGAGACTTCTACCTGGAAATCAGGTGTTGGTACCACATGACCAGCTAGGTTCCACATAATTTCAGAAACTGGTACCCCAGTCATCGTCTAGTTAACATGAATAAGCTCTGCTAGTGCTCCTGATTCCTAGAGAAGCTTCATTTCAGATCAGCCTGCCTGACAGCGACTAAAAAGATTTTTAGCTGATTTCAGCTATTTTGATTCTCATGAAACTGCTTCATGCTTAACATCTGATTGTTCCTGGACCTTCCTTCTTGGGAACAAGAATGAATAGGACTTCAAAAGGCTTGTTTCTGCAAAGACAGGAACAACATCATCTATAGTGGTAAGAATGCTGCTATAATAATACCAAATCTTCAGTAAACCTCTGACTGTCAGAAGCCCTGTCAGGCACCAGTGACTGTTTAATTTCACTACACATATCTTGCATCACTGGATTATAAATCTCTGCTGAAAATCTAAGATCTTAACCTCTGGTTTTGTTAAAACCGAACATCTGTTGAGGTGGAAGGTATATCTTATTAAAGCATGATGTCACTGTTGTCGTCAGCTACTCGGTCTTATTTCCATGCTCTTTTTTTAATGTATTTGGCACAGTTACGAGTTGATTAAAATCCTTTTTTCCCCTCTCTCCACAGGCTGATGAAGATCCAATCATGGGATTCCACCAGATGTTTCTATTAAAGAACATCAATGATGCCTGGGTTTGCACCAATGACATGTTCAGGCTAGCGTTGCACAACTTTGGCTGAGCTGGCATCCCCCAGGCACCAGTGCTTTCTTTCTCTTCTCCTCTTCCTGATATTATTCACACTCACGGAACATTCCAAATATCATACACAAACCTGCAACACCGCAGCGAGTGAGTGAGCAAGACCTGTGATCTGCCCTTCTGCTGAGTTTACATTGTCACTAGATGAGTTCCTTGTGCATGATGTTTGGAAGTTAGACTTAGCTGCATTTGACAAGAGAAATTTGTGTTGTACCAGCATGCCTCGGAAAGAATCCATAATGCAAAAGGTTGCTTGTTTATGTACTGACAAGTTGCTTTAGTAACCCAAAGAAATGAAAGGAAAGAACAGCAGCCTATACAGCCCAGATATTCATTTGTTCAGATGTTTCAATGCTACATTACACAATAAAACCATGAGATTTTCTTAACAGTTTAAATTGTTTTAATGAGTGCATAACTGTAAATTTTTACAGTCAATTCTTTGGTTCTCCCGTGTCTGCCTCTCTGGGAAATGTTTACAGATCTAAAACCCTTGTAACCTTTTAGTGCTAACAGAACACTCCATCCATGTTTTACTGTTGCAGGTTAGGGCAAATATGCCTTTGCCATAGATATAGATATCTTCTCTTCCCTATCCCCCTCAGCATGGAGGCTTTGGGCTCAAATGTTGATATTCCCCTTTAAAAGACTCGATTTTGAAGTTTTTTCTTTAATGTATTAATCTTTCTACATAAAACAGAAGATAATGCATAATCTTGACAATCCTGGTGACTTGCATAAGTTGATATCTGTCATAACACTTGCTGTGATGTCAGTCATTGCCGAGCCTTCCCTGCTAAATATGCCAGCAGTATTTCCCCTGTGTTTAAACACTGGGTAATATAACTTCCAACTTCCCTAATTGTCTGTAGAACCTTGAGGGGGTTTCTGGTTCCTTTTTCAAAATTGCATTTAGCTTCAGTGTCCTGGCTAAATTCCTGTTCTGGTTTAGCTTATCTAAACCTGTCCTGCAGTTTTGAGTTGGGTATGGCATTCTTTGTACTCTGTCCTAAACCAATGCATAGTGTTCTTAATATTATGCAGCCAGCTGCTACATGTTGCCCCAAGGGTGGCAGCATTTCACTAGTGAAGTGCATTTATCAAGTATGTTTATATTTTCCAAGATAAAAAAGTGCCACATAAATAGGATTGGATTCTTCACTTCATAGCTGAATAGCCTGCTGGTTCCAGATTTCAAGGGCTCAGTATGCCCAGCTTGGTCTGATTTTTTTTTTTTTTCCAAAAATGCACAGAACTCTGCAGTTTTGACTTTTAAGAAGCCAAGAAAACTCAGTATGATGTGCTTAGCTGCTCAATTCCTGAATTTCTGGCCACTTAATTTGGTGTCTAAATTGGAGTTGAGCTTTCATGAAAACTGATCTTGGGGCTCTCTAAAATGATATAATAAATGTACTGTCTTTGTTTTTAGTAGTATTAGCAGTAACTTGCTCTTCTATTCCTCACTGTCTGTTTAAAAGTTAAATGGAAATAGAATACTGAATTTCCTAATATGCTCCTTTGGCATAGAAATAATTCACAGTGTTAATCCCTCCAAGGAATTAGTCCTTAAGAGAAAGATCCATATAAACAAAAGAGCCATTCTTTGTGGTCAGGAGCTACTGGAAAAGCCTTCTTTATGGTATTAGCCTCCAGTTCCAAATGCTTCCAGTCCACTCTGGAATCTGAGGGAGAAGGTCTGACTCTCCAGTCGAACCTGGTCTGCAGAAAGATCTTGTCCACCAAGCCTGGTTGGTCCCTGAGCATCAGCAACCAACTCGATGGTTAAGAGCATGTGAGTAGATTAAATACCAGAGTTGAGGGATGCCCCTGATGGGTCTTTTAAAAAAAAAATCTCTCAGTATATGACCTCTTGCTTCTGGCAGGCTTTCTGACCTTCAGAGAAGAGAGCTATTAGCTGCCCTTTGAAGCTTCTTGCATAACATTATACTTTTCCCTTTCTCCACATTCTGCTGTTCAGCCCTGGTTCGCTAACCAGAGGAGACATAAGTGCCAATTTTACTTCCTAAGTGAGCCAATGCTGCATAAAATGCTTCTGGGAAACCAGTGCATTCCTCGAGCCCTTAGTATGCGGACAAACTTGCTGTCTCTTAGTAACTGCTTCAGCTCAAGGACTTCTTTTAAGAAGAGAAGCCATTTGGTCCAACATTAACTGTTGTATTGATGGGTCATGCACTAGTATCCATTGCTCGTGGCAAATGTTGGACTGAAGACTAGTCACTTTCAAATGTTAAGAAGGCTTTTAAGAGGGATAGGGACAGGTAAAGTTGCTGCCCCTTTTAATTCTCTTAGGTGGGAGAAGGTTGAATTCTTTATACCTGAGATTCTTATAAGCAGCCTGTCTTGTCCTGCCCACACTGAATGAGATTTGGAACCATCTCATGCTTAGCTGGGCTGGAACATCATGTTGGCCTTAATATTAGCAGTGTTAATAGCCATATTAAAAAGGTGCCTTAAGAAAACTCCTTGAATGTGATTCTTGCAGGCATTGGGCACTCCACCTACTCCCATGTGTTGGCTAGAGGATGGGCAAGGGAAGACCATTTTCTCTGCATCTAAGACAGGAATGACTAGCTTATGTTTGCAATTAACTTCTCATTGTGAATATTACCCTCCAACCCTAGTGTATTTATAGTTTATTTTTCTTGATGGCAATTATGTACTGCAGTTGCAGGCAGTATAGATAAATATCTAGATTTGTCTTGGCTAGGGAAAATGAGTTCTGATCCTGGCCCAAACTGAAGGGGGAGAATTTTTAAGGTAGCCTGCACCATAGACTTGAAATTTCTTCAGTTGTGGAAAATGGCACCCAAGAGGCATTGTGAAAAAGCTGTGCCAAATGTATGACCACCTGGCCCGGTCTATTAGCTATCATGCCAGAGCTGCTTTTTTGTGAATGGACTGGAAAGCCTTTATGCTTTTTGTCACAAATAGGATGACTACGTTACCTCTCTCTAAGCTAATACTTCAAATGTGACCCTCCTTCAGAATACCTCTGGGTCATTATTTCTGTCCACTAGATGTAAAAATAAAATGTTACCAAGAGTTTTGCATATGTATTACTGAATAAAACTTGGCAGTAGGTGTTGGGAGAGAGCTTACACAGTACCATATGGAGGGCATTCTACATACTTAGAGGAAAACATCTTTGTAAAATTGTAGACAATATTCAGCAATAGCTTTGCAGGTAATAAATCAGGTGAACAGTTATGTGGAGTAAAATTATACATTTAATATAAACTATTGTATGATGTTGGCTTGCTCTGATTGTACCTGTGACAAATGTGTTAATAAAGATTTCTTTAACAAATGTTACTTGCTTGAGCCCAAGCCTAGAAAGTAGAGGTCAAATTATGGCTGGGACCCGGCACTCAAAAAACCAGAGAAGACTTGAGAACCATTCAGTGGAGCTGTAATGGAACGTTCCCATCTTTGGGTACTAACTGAAAGGTAACTAAACCTAATGAACCTTGCCAGCTCACCCTCTTTCCTTCCCAACCCCTGTGCTAGGAAGGATGCTGTTAAAGTCATGCCAGTTCTGTAGCAGGCCAAATTTGTTCTGAGTACCTGAAATTCTTGTTAAGGGAAGATCTCAGATCTCCCCAAATGCATTAAACGTGGCTTTCTTTCCTGAACTGTAGTTGTAGGGACAGCAGCTGCTGTCTGTGCTTTCAAACTGTATTGGGTGGGAGAGCTTTCTTCTAATGGAAGCCAGCTGTTGTTTTTCACTCCCTCAAGAGCAGCCAGAAGCCTTCCTGCAATGTTGTCTTGACACACGCTTCAGTACATCCCTTCCTTCCTGCAGTATGGCCCACAGTGGTAAACCTGGCCAGTGCTGTGAATTTCATGCTAAGTGCCATGTGACATTAATAAGGTGTCTGGCATAACTGAAGGTTAAGCACAAGCAAGTGAAAGCAGGCCAGGGTACTGCATCCTGTATCCTCTAGCCCTTGCCTACTACAATCAAAGTTGGGGAGAAAGCAAAGTGGTATCTATCTGAGATCATAGTATTCCCTGCTACTTTGGTTGGAGGAAGATGGGTTCTGGTTAGGTCCCAAGTGAGCTGAAAGTAGGTTCTGGGAGCAAACCTCCACCCTTGGCTCTACGATGAGGAGGTCAGATGTACATGTCCTGGGACAGAGATGCTTCCGTGCAGCTGGGAGGTGGCAGCCCATTAGGACAAGGAGAAAAGAGGTCAACTGAGAAAATGGCACTAAGGTTTCCTCCCAACCCCAGAGCAGAGGGAGGCTCCCGGTGCGGGCCTGGTCTCCCAGAGGAAGCCGAACCGCAAGGAGCGGCGCAGGCCTCCTGCAGGGAGGCAGGACCCGGGAGCCG